TGTTGTCCAGGCTAGAGTCATGTGGCATCAGCCTACCTCACAGGAACCTCGAACTCCTGGGCTAAAGTGATCCTCCTGTCTCAGTCTCCCAGCATGCTAGGATTACAGGCGTGAGCCACCACGCCGGCCTGACCTGGATTGAGATGCAAAGTAGTAAGACCTTGCTTTGGCCGGCGCAGTGGCTCACAGCTGTAATCTTAGCACTCTGGGAGGCCAAAGAGGGAAGATCGCTTGAGATTGGGAGTTTGAGATCAGCCTGAGCAAGAGTGAGACCCCCATCTCTACTAAAAATAGAAAAAATTAGCCAGCCAACTCAAAATAGAAACAAAAAATTACCCAGGCATGGTGGCAAACCACTGTAATCCCAGCTACTTGGGAGGCTGAGGCAGGAGGATCACTTGAGCCCAGGAGTTCGACGTTGCTGTGACCTAGGCCAATACCACAGCACTCTAGCCCGGGCCAAAGAGTGAGACTCTGTCTCAAAACAAACAAAAAAAAGACCTTGGTTTGCAGAGGTCAGACTAGAAAGGGAATTACAGAAATATTCACAAGAAGTCAGCAGAAGATGGGGATTCACGGACATGGAAGGTAAAGAAGTACAACTCATAGGATTTGAGGTTGCAAGAAGTAGTATTGAAGCCATTGACAGAAATAAAAGAAGTTGGGAGAGAGGTAGCATGGCTTGGAGCACTGGTGTTTTGGAAGCAATCTTCAACATTTCAGGGGTATTGAGGATTGGGGAAGAAAGGACATCAGTTGTACCTGCATCATCAAGAGCAACGCTAGCTACCTTTATCTATGTATGGGACTCCGGTTCCCAAGCAACAAACGTTTCAAGATAGCTGATGGGCCTGGGTGCAGTGGCCAATGTCTGTAACCCTAGCTCTTTAAGAGGCCAAGGTGGGAGGATTGGTTGAGGCCAGAAGTTCAAGGCCAGCCTGGGTAACATAGTGAGACCTTGTCTCTTTAAAAAAAAAAAAAAAAAGCAAGTTTAGAACAATGTCTCTGAACTCCTGGATGGTAAGATTACAAATACTACTGTAGAGTACAGGTGTAGCCCGTAGCAGTTGTTTAATGGTAGCTATCAAGAATGGGTCGGTTTGGGGAAAGAGCTGGGGTCTAAAGTAACAAACCACTCATCAGCTCTGTCTTTCCTACTCTAGGCTTAGGAATGCCCCCTTTTGATTCCACCTTTTCTGGCTTCTCAAGTCCTTGACTTCCCCCAGCCATGTTCTCATCCTAGCTCTGAAGTCACCTCTGTGTTGATTTCGGTGTAAACTAATTTGGTTCTTCCCTTACTCTGCCCTTGACAGCATCTGTGGAACCCTCCATTCTGTGGATCAGGTGAGCTATTAGCAAGGGCTCGGAATCAATTCTTGGAGGGGAGGGGAGACCTTAAGGGTTAGGTATTTGCATTGTGTCTCCAGGGTCAGTGATGGTGTTCATTTTCCTCTCGTAGTATCTCAACATAAAACTAACTGACATCAGTGTCACAGATCCTGAGAAATACCCTCACATGGTGAGTTGGGAACCATGGGAAAGAGGAAACACCTTGAAAGCATTTGGCCCCAGGTGGCTAGGGACATTTTTAAGGGTGTTTTCATATTTGTCTATCTTTGTCTAGTTATCAGTGAAGAACTGCTTCATCCGGGGCTCAGTGGTCCGCTATGTGCAGTTGCCGGCAGATGAGGTGGACACACAGTTGCTACAGGATGCAGCAAGGAAGGAAGCCCTGCAGCAGAAACAGTGATGGCTCCTCCTCTTTCCCCTTCTTCTTCCATTGGTGACCCATAACTTCAAGACCCAGCCCAGACCCCTCTCCCCCAGTACTTGAGGTGTTTTTTTTTTTTTTCTTTTAAATAGTGATTTTTTTCTTTTAAAGGGATAAGAGGAGTAATAGTGGGAAACAGCTATCTTCTGTTGAGAAGGGGAGGATAAGTAGACTGGGAAACTGCAAAGCCTTCCCAGTCCCTAGCATCTGCCATTCTCACTCCTTCCCTGGAGATTCTGGGAGAGTTTCCGAGTTATTTCCAGGGCAGCACGTGATTCATTTTGGGGATGGAAGGAATCTGTCCCGCATCGGGAATAAAATTTATGATGCAAATTTGAGTTCTGGTTCTGTAGTTTGTGTTTTGGGAAGGGAACTGGGGGGTGGAAAAGGATGTTGAATTCATCTCAGCCCTGTTAATTCCCGTTCCCCCAGCCAAGACTGCAACTCAACTTCCCAGCATTATCTACTACCACTCTCCTTGGTATAAAGCATCTAATACAGTTGTACTACACCATGTTTCCTGAACATGCCCCTACCTACATGTTCTCCCTCTGGTCCTTTTGCTTATACTGTACCTACATCTGGAGTGCTTCCTGCCCTTCCATCTCTGTGCCCTATCAATCTGAGAGTGTCAAGAAATACCAAAATGCATTTGATGCTGGTGGGTTTCATCGTCAATCCAGCCAAATCAATACACTTCTTCTGAATATCCATAGACGATAAATAAAAACAAGTGATGCAATTTGTATTGTGAAGAGAAGTTATGTGGGGATTACTAAATTTCATTCACTCCTTCAGCAAATATGAGTTCCTGAACCAATGAGAATTCTCAGCCTTAAGGGACCTTAGAGACCATCTAGCGTGACCCTCTTCTCATATATGAAGAAATGAGGTTCAGGGAGGAAGCTGGACGTCCAGGGCCGTGGCAAATGGACCTCTCCTTCGGTCCCCGTCACGCAGCTCCCGCCTTAGCCGGTTCCGGCTACCAGCTGGGGACCGCCCTCGCCCCGGGGCCCGACCCTCCCGGCCTGTTCCCCTGCGGCCCGCTGGGCGCCGCCCTCGCCTCCCGGCCCGAGGACCCGTGCGAGGTGCCCTCGGCGGCGCCTGACGGGAGCGCGGTCCCCGAGAGCGTCCTCCGGGCCTGCGCCCGCGCCCCGCGCTGCTCGTGAGCGCGGCGGGTGGCGAGCGGCGCGGCCGCGGGACCAGTGTCGGGCTGGGCAGCGCGCGCACGTGCAGGCGGGACACGGCCGCCCCCGCCAGGACCCGCAGGCCCGGAAGCGCTCCCTGTCACAAAGGTGGGAACACGTGGGCGGCGACTTCCCGGGCCGCTGTCTCTAGGAACTAGGGTCACTCGGAGAGCCGCCCATCGTCGCCACCCGCCCGACTCCTCCGCCCCGGCCGCTCGGCCGGTCCAGCCGCAGCCGGCGCTTGGCTGTGAGGTGGATTCCCGGCCCGGTCTGACCCTCTCCCGCCAGTACGTACACGCGGCTCGAACCCGCAGCCTACCGGACGCCTACCCGCTCCTGCGAGTCTCCCACACTCCCCGAGGCCCCGCGATCGTGGGCAGTCCCCCGTCCCCCTCTTCCCAGGTGCTCCCCACTGTCACTGCCACTCTGAGAGCCGGTCCTCATTTCCTATAGTTTAGTCAGACCCTCAATCCTCGGGATTTGGGGCGCCTGCGGAAAACCCAGGCGAGAGGGGCCCCTCTCTACTCACATATAGGACCCCCTGGGTCCCTCAGTCTTCCCCGTGTCTCTTTCTCCCTAGGTTTTCCACCTCGTTCGGATCCCCTCAACTATGTCCATCCTCTACGTCTCCCCTCACCCAGATGCCTTCCCCAGCCTCCGAGCCCTCATAGCCGCTCGCTATGGGGAGGCTGGGCAGGGTCCCGGATGGGGAGGAGCCCACCCCCGCATCTGTCTCCAGCCGCCCCCGAGCAGCCGAACTCCTTTTCCCCCACCCCGGCTGCCAGCCCTGGAGCAGGGACCGGGGGGGCTCTGGGTGTGGGGGGCCACGGCTGTGGCCCAGCTGCTGTGGCCAGCAGGCCTGGGGGGTCCTGGGGGTAGCCGGGCAGCTGTCCTCGTTCAACAGTGGGTCAGTTACGCCGACACGGAGCTCATACCAGCTGCCTGTGGGGCCACGCTGCCAGCCCTGGGACTTCGAAGCTCCACACAAGACCCCCAGGTGAGAGCGTGGCCAGAGAGGGGAAATTCAGAGGAAAGAAGCAAGGATTGGAATGGATAATGAGACAGGAAGGTAGCTTGTCACATGTGGAAAAAGAGTGCTCAAATCCCAGATTGCCACCTGGTACGCTAACCTTCCGCACGTTTCTTAAATTCTCTGAGCCTTGGTCTTCCTAGTCTACAAACACACAAGTTGATGTGATATCTGCCTCACTGAGTTAATGAGATTAAAAGATTTGCACAGAGCACACGGTCTATCTCTGAGTAAAAGTTTGATGAGGATAGAGATTACTCTGAATTGTAGGAAAAGACTGGGTGAGGGAAGAGATGACAGTTGCTGGGAGGAGATAAAGGAGGAATGGCATGAGGAAGGGCAGTGAGAGAGAACACCACTGAATTGTAACTGGAGATGCTTCCAGAGTAGAGCTGCTCCTGGTGTGCTTACAGCTCTGCCTCCTTGCACAGCGTTGAGCACAGGGTGGATGCCTAGTATTTCTTTTACTTTTTTATTTTTTGAGACAGAGTCTCACTCTTTTGCCCAGGCTAGAGTGAGTGCCGTGGCGTCAGCCTAGCTCACAGCAACCTCAAACTCCTGGGCTCAAGCAATCCTTCTGCCTCAGCCTCCCAAGTAGCTGGGACTACAGGCATGCGCCACAATGCCCGGCTAATTTTTTCTATATATTTTTAGTTGTCCGATTAATTTCTTTCTATTTTTAGTAGGTAGAGACGGGGTCTCGCTCTTGCTCAGGCTGGTTTCGAACTCCTGAGCTCAAACAATCCACCTGCCTCGGCCTCCCAGAGTGCTAGGATTACAGGCATGAGCCACCGCGCCGGGCCACCTAGTATTTCTTGAATGAATGAATGTTGACAGACCCTGGCTTGCTCCCTCATATTCTGATTACCCTATCAAAAATAGTCCCTCTCTCCCAGAATTTCCTAATCCCCTCAGCCTGCTTTATTTTCCTTCATAGGAGTCCAGAAAATAGGGCAATGTATTATGTATTTGCTCATTTATTGTTCCCCCACTGGAATGTAAACTCTTCCAGGTCAGGGCTCTGTTCATGTCGTCTCTCATTCCTTAGAGACGTGCTGAATAGACACGTGCTGATGCTCTGGACCTGGCATTACTGCGTTGCTCTGTGCTTAATATATTGCATCTGACATACAATAAGTGTTCAGCGGGGATTTGTTGGGTGAATCAGAAGTATTTTTATTATGACCATCTGAGTGAAGAAGAAACTGGCCTCAGAGGTGGCCATGTGTGGGAGTAGGAGTGGAGGGAGGCCAAATGGGTTGGGTGGGGTTGGAGGCGAGGGTGGGGATTGAGGTGGGCCAAGCCTTGTCTCACACCCTTCCCCTTCCTGCCAGGCTGTGCTGGGGGCCCTGGGCAGGGCCCTGAGCCCCTTGGAGGAGTGGCTTCGGCTGCACACCTACCTGGCCGGGGAGGCCCCCACTCTGGCTGACCTGGCGGCTGTCACAGCCTTGCTGCTGCCTTTCCGATACGTGAGTCACCGGGGCCTGGGGAAGAAGAAGAGTGCTCCCCTCAGACCTCACTGCAGGGTGATTAAGGGTCATCATTTCTTTCCCATCCCAGGTCCTCGACCCACCTGCCCGCCAGATCTGGGGTAATGTGACTCGCTGGTTTGTCACGTGTGTCCAACAGCCAGAGTTCCGGGCCGTACTGGGAGAAGTGGTTCTGTTCTCAGGGGCCAGGCCTCTCTCTCAACAGTCAGGTTAGGAAGGGTAAGGAGTGGGAGGATGGGGGCTCCTGTGGGGCCTCCAATACAACTCACTTTCTTTTTTCTCATAAGAATGGCAGAATCACTGGGGGAGGGGAGGGTAAGGTGGGAAGACAGCCTGGGTGAGCCCTTGGGCAACTGAAATAGCCCATCTGAAACCTGCTAGCACCATTCACAGAGGGTCCCCAGCAGGCTAAGTCTGAGTTTCTGTGCCTCTGTTCAGGCTCCGAGGTCCCTGCACCCCCAAAGACAGCTGCTCAGCTTAAGAAAGAGGCAAAGAAACGGGAGAAGCTAGAGAAATACCAACAGAAACAAAAGATCCAACAGCAGCAGCCACCTCCTGGGGAGGTGAGAGGCTAGGGCGGAGCTGGAAGGAAGGTTGATGCCGTGGCCGGTTGGCTAATATCTGGGCCTATATCTTCTCCCTCCCAAGCAGAAGAAACCAAAACCAGAGAAGAGGGAAAAACGAGATCCTGGGGTTATTACCTATGACCTCCCAACCCCACCTGGGGAAAAGAAAGGTACTAGGAGGGGGAAGGGGCCCACCCTTCAACTGCTCCTTCCAGGTTTTCACCCCTTCTTGCTCTGTTCTTGCTCCCACCACTTTGCTTGGTGAGGGTTTGCAGAGTCCCCCAGGCCCTCCAATGCCTGTCTTGTGATGTGAGCCACAGGGCCCCTGATCCTTCTCTGCTGGCCTGTCCTCTTCTTAGCTGTTCCCAGCCTTCATGCTGAGCCCTGCCCTCCTCTCCCCCAGATGTCAGTGGCACCATGCCCGACTCCTACAGCCCTCAGTATGTGGAGGCTGCCTGGTACCCTTGGTGGGAGCAGCAGGGCTTCTTCAAGCCAGAGTATGGGGTAAGTGGGCACTGCTGCCCGGGCCCGGGGCTGGGGGAAAGGGCAGGGCTGAAGGAAACGATGCCTGGGAGAGGGCTGGGAGAGGTGACATGAGGCCTTAGCACATGCCATCCTTCTCCACCATCAGCGTCCTAATGTGTCAGCGTCAAATCCCCGAGGTGTCTTCATGATGTGCATCCCACCCCCCAACGTGACAGGCTCCCTGCACCTGGGCCACGCGCTCACCAACGCCATCCAGGACTCCCTGACTCGATGGTGAGCTCCTGTCTGCAACTCGGACTGCTTCCTCTGTCCTCTCTGGCACCTTTCTCTTCCCGACCCTGCCCCCCAGCCTCCCTCCTTCTGGGTTGGCCCTCAGCTCTGCCCCCTAGTGGCGCTACACTTTCTCTTTCTCTGTGTTTCTGTCATTCCCATCTGATCTTTTAGGGTCCTCTCCTAGTCACATAATCCCATCCAACACCTCCCACCTCTTCTCTCATTTCTCTTTCTACTAAAAATAACATTATTTTGAATTTAACTAGAAATATGTGAATATATTCTTGTTGTAAGAAATTTA